AGTGTCTCTACTTTAAAGAGTCCTCTCTTGCTGATGTTCAGGTGTATATCAGTATGTAGTGTCTCTACTTTAAAGAGTCCTCTCCTGCTGATGTTCAGGTGTATATCAGTATGTAGTGGTCTCTACTTTAAAGAGTCCTCTCCTGCTGATGTTCAGGTGTATATCAGTATGTAGTGTCTCTACTTTAAAGATTCCTCTCCTGCTGATGTTTCAGGTGTATATCAGTATGCATGTGTCTCTACTTAAAGAGTCCTCTCCTGCTGATGTTCAGGTGTATATCAGTATGCAGTGTCTCTACTTTAAAGAGTCCTCCTCCTGCTGAGGTTCAGGTGTATATCAGTATGCAGTTTTTTGTCTCTACTTTAAAGAGTCCTCTCCTGCTGATGTTCGAGGTGTATATCAGTATGTAGTGTCTCTACTTTAAAGAGTCCTCTCCTGCTGATGTTCAGGTGTATATCAGTAGTAGGTCTCTACTTTAAAGAGTCCTCTCCTGCTGATGTTCAGGTGTATATCAGTATGTAGTGTCTCTACTTAAAGAGTCCTCTCCTGCTGATGTTCAGGTTGTATATCAGTATGGCAGTGTCTCTACTTTAAAGAGTCCTCTCCTGCTGATGTTCAGGTGTATATCAGTATGCAGTGTCTCTACTTTAAAGAGTCCTCTCCTGCTGATGTTCAGGTGTATATCAGTATGCAGTGGTCTCTACTTTAAAGAGTCCTCTCCTGCTGATGTTCAGGTGTATATCAGTATGCAGTGTCTCTACTTTAAAGAGTCCTCTCCTGCTGATGTTCAGGTGTATATCAGTATGTAGTGTCTCTACTTTAAAGAGTCCTCTCCTGCTGATGTTCAGGTGTATATCAGTATGTAGTGTCTCTACTTTAAAGAGTCCTCTCCTGCTGATGTTCAGGTGTATATCAGTATGTCGTGTCTCTACTTTAAAGAGTCCTCTCCTGCTGATGTTCAGGTTGTATATCAGTATGTAGTGTCTCTACTTTAAAGAGTCCTCTCCTGCTGATGTTCAGGTGTATATCAGTATGTAGTGTCTCTACTTTAAAGAGTCCTCTCCTGCTGATGTTCAGGTGTATATCAGTATGTAGTGTCTCTACTTTAAAGAGTGCTCTCCTGCTGATGTTCAGGTGTATATCAGTATGTAGTGTCTCTACTTGAAAGAGTCCTCTCCTGCTGATGTTCAGGTGTATATCAGTATGTAGTGTCTCTACTTTAAAGAGTCCTCTCCTGCTGATGTTCAGGTGTATATCAGTATGTAGTGTCTCTACTTTAAAGAGTCCTCTCTTGCTGATGTTCAGGTGTATATCAGTATGTAGTGTCACTACTTTAAAGAGTCCTCTCCTGCTGATGTTCAGGTGTATATCAGTATGTAGTGTCACTACTTTAAAGAGTCCTCTCCTGCTGATGTTCAGGTGTATATCAGTATGTAGTGTCTCTACTTTAAAGAGTCCTCTCCTGCTGATGTTCAGGTGTATATCAGTATGTAGTGTCTCTACTTTAAAGAGTCCTCTCCTGCTGATGTTCAGGTGTATATCAGTATGTAGTGTCACTACTTTAAAGAGTCCTCTCCTGCTGATGTTCAGGTGTATATCAGTATGTAGTTGTCTCTACTTTAAAGAGTCCTCTCCTGCTGATGTTCAGGTGTATATCAGTATGTAGTGTCACTACTTTAAAGAGTCCTCTCCTGCTGATGTTCAGGTGTATATCAGTATGTAGTGTCTCTACTTTAAAGAGTCCTCTCTTGCTGATGTTCAGGTGTATATCAGTATGTAGTGTCTCTACTTTAAAGAGTCCTCTCCTGCTGATGTTCAGGTGTATATCAGTATGTAGTGTCTCTACTTTAAAGAGTCCTCTCCTGCTGATGTTCAGGTGTATATCAGTATGTAGTGTCTCTACTTTAAAGAGTCCTCTCCTGCTGATGTTCAGGTGTATATCAGTATGCAGTGTCTCTACTTTAAAGAGTCCTCTCCTGCTGATGTTCAGGTGTATATCAGTATGCAGTGTCTCTACTTTAAAGAGTCCTCTCCTGCTGATGTTCAGGTGTATATCAGTATGCAGTGTCTCTACTTTAAAGAGTCCTCTCCTGCTGATTGTTCAGGTGTATATCAGTATGCAGTGTCTCTACTTTAAAGAGTCCTCTCCTGCTGATGTTCAGGTGTATATCAGTATGTAGTGTCTCTACTTTAAAGAGTCCTCTCCTGCTGATGTTCAGGTGTATATCAGTATGTAGTGTCTCTACTTTAAAGAGTCCTCTCCTGCTGATGTTCAGGTGTATATCAGTATGTAGTGTCTCTACTTTAAAGAGTCCTCTCCTGCTGATGTTCAGGTGTATATCAGTATGCAGTGTCTCTACTTTAAAGAGTCCTCTCCTGCTGATGTTCAGGTGTATATCAGTATGCAGTGTCTCTACTTTAAAGAGTCCTCTCCTGCTGATGTTCAGGTGTATATCAGTATGCAGTGTCTCTACTTTAAAGAGTCCTCTCCTGCTGATGTTCAGGTGTATATCAGTATGTAGTGTCTCTACTTTAAAGAGTCCTCTCCTGCTGATGTTCAGGTGTATATCAGTATGTAGTGTCTCTACTTTAAAGAGTCCTCTCCTGCTGATGTTCAGGTGTATATCAGTATGTAGTGTCTCTACTTTAAAGAGTCCTCTCCTGCTGATGTTCAGGTGTATATCAGTATGTAGTGTCTCTACTTTAAAGAGTCCTCTCCTGCTGATGTTCAGGTGTATATCAGTATGTAGTGTCTCTACTTTAAAGAGTCCTCTCCTGCTGATGTTCAGGTGTATATCAGTATGTAGTGTCTCTACTTTAAAGAGTCCTCTCCTGCTGATGTTCAGGTGTATATCAGTATGTAGTGTCTCTACTTTAAAGAGTCCTCTCCTGCTGATGTTCAGGTGTATATCAGTATGTAGTGTCTCTACTTTAAAGAGTCCTCTCCTGCTGATGTTCAGGTGTATATCAGTATGTAGTGTCTCTACTTTAAAGAGTCCTCTCCTGCTGATGTTCAGGTGTATATCAGTATGTAGTGTCTCTACTTTAAAGAGTCCTCTCCTCTGATGTTCAGGTGTATATCAGTATGTAGTGTCTCTACTTTAAAGAGTCCTCTCCTGCTGATGTTCAGGTGTATATCAGTATGTAGTGTCTCTACTTTAAAGAGTCCTCTCCTGCTGATGTTCAGGTGTATATCAGTATGTAGTGTCTCTACTTTAAAGAGTCCTCTCTGCTGATGTTCAGGGTGTATATCAGTATGTAGTGTCTCTACTTTAAAGAGTCCTCTCCTGCTGATGTTCAGGTTGTTATATCAGTATGTAGTGTCTCTACTTTAAAGAGTCCTCCCCTGCTGATGTTCAGGTGTATATCAGTATGTAGTGTCTCTACTTTAAAGAGTCCTCTCCTGCTGATGTTCAGGTGTATATCAGTATGTAGTGTCTCTACTTTAAAGAGTCCTCTCATGCTGATGTTCAGGTGTATATCAGTATGTAGTGTCTCTACTTTAAAGAGTTCCTCTCCTGCTGATGTTCAGGTGTATGTCAGTATGTAGTGTCTCTACTTTAAAGAGTCCTCTCCTGCTGATGTTCAGGTGTATATCAGTATGTAGTGTCTCTACTTTAAAGAGTCCTCTCCTGCTGATGTTCAGGTGTATATCAGTATGTAGTGTCTCTACTTTAAAGAGTCCTCTCCTGCTGATGTTCAGGTGTATATCAGTATGTAGTGTCTCTACTTTAAAGAGTCCTCTCCTGCTGATGTTCAGGTGTATATCAGTATGTAGTGTCTCTACTTTAAAGAGTCCTCTCCTGCTGATGTTCAGGTGTATATCAGTATGTAGAGTCTCTACTTTAAAGAGTCCTCTCCTGCTGATGTTCAGGTGTATATCAGTATGTAGTGTCTCTACTTTAAAGAGTCCTCTCCTGCTGATGTTCAGGTGTATATCAGTATGTAGTGTCTCTACTTTAAAGAGTCCTCTCCTGCTGATGTTCAGGTGTATATCAGTATGTAGTGTCTCTACTTTAAAGAGTCCTCTCCTGCTGATGTTCAGGTGTATATCAGTATGTAGTGTCTCTACTTTAAAGAGTCCTCTCCTGCTGATGTTCAGGTGTATATCAGTATGTAGTGTCTCTACTTTAAAGAGTCCTCTCCTGCTGGTGTTCAGGTGTATATCAGTATGTAGTGTCTCTACTTTAAAGAGTCCTCTCCTGCTGATGTTCAGGTGTATATCAGTATATAGTGTCTCTACTTTAAAGAGTACTCTCCTGCTGATGTTCAGGTGTATATCAGTATGTAGTGTCTCTACTTTAAAGAGTCCTCTCCTGCTGATGTTCAGGTGTATATCAGTGTGTAGTGTCTCTACTTTAAAGAGTCCTCTCTTGCTGATGTTCAGGTGTATATCAGTATGTAGTGTCTCTACTTTAAAGAGTCCTCTCCTGCTGATGTTCAGGTGTATATCAGTATGTAGTGTCTCTACTTTAAAGAGTCCTCTCCTGCTGATGTTCAGGTGTATATCAGTATGTAGTGTCTCTACTTTAAAGAGTCCTCTCCTGCTGATGTTCAGGTGTATATCAGTGTGTAGTGTCTCTACTTTAAAGAGTCCTCTCTTGCTGATGTTCAGGTGTATATCAGTATGTAGTGTCTCTACTTTAAAGAGTCCTCTCCTGCTGATGTTCAGGTGTATATCAGTATGTAGTGTCTCTACTTTAAAGAGTCCTCTCCTGCTGATGTTCAGGTGTATATCAGTATGTAGTGTCTCTACTTTAAAGAGTCCTCTCCTGCTGATGTTCAGGTGTATATCAGTATATAGTGTCTCTACTTTAAAGAGTCCTCTCCTGCTGATATTCAGGTGTATATCAGTATGTAGTGTCTCTACTTTAAAGAGTCCTCTCCTGCTGATGTTCAGGTGTATATCAGTATGTAGTGTCTGTACTTTAAAGAGTCCTCTCCTGTTGATGTTCAGGTGTATATCAGTATGTAGTGTCTCTACTTTAAAGAGTCCTCACCAGTATCATGTGTCCGGTAGAGATGTCCATGTTGGACGGCACTGGCTCCTCGCACCAGGACGAGGTGCTGCTCCGGGTCGAAGGACTCGCCGCCGGCCCGTCGCTGAACTGAGACGAGACGCTGTTCAGACGAGAGTTTCTGAGAGTCTCCGGACGCTCGACTCGCTCAGAGGTTCGGATCGCCATTCGCTGCCGACACAACTCCTGCAGGAGAGAGGGGGGGATGTGTAATTAACAAAATGTACTTTCCACTACTCAATCAATTCAGTAAATCCAGAGGTGGGAAGTAGTGGAGTACAAATACTTCGTTACTGTACAGAAGCACTGGGCGAATTCAAATCAAGCCACGTTTCCTTCGACTATTTTTTATGCATTTTGATTATTTGCATTAGAAAAGATCTCTGGAAATGCCTAATATTTATTAAACTTCCTCATTGTTTTTTGGAAAAGGTATCTTCTGTAAAGAGCGGATTCACCTCTGCAGGATCAGGTCTCATGTTTAATGTAAATAATGTGTAAGACGGCATTAAAGGCATCACAATAATACCCCCGAATAGGGATGGGTATCGTTAAGGCAGTGGTTCTCAAACTTTTTCTGTCAGGCCCCCCCTTTGGAGAAAAAAAAAAGTCGGGCCCCCCAACAGAAATAGTCAGGCTCAGTGGCGGCGCCAGAGATTTATTTTGGGGGTGCTGTGGGGTAGCTTGACGTTTCATAGAGGGTGCTCAAACATTTAGGGTTTCCCATTAATGTACCGGTCGCTACAGAGGAATGTTCTACTGCAACACTCCCCACGCAAATACACAATGTACCCGCGACTGTTACAATGAAGGCTCGATAATCAGCTCACGGCATATAGGTGTAAGCAGGGGTAAAGTGCTATTTTTATAGGTGGTGTGTGGACCTCACATAGGGGGGTCCGGGGGCAAGCTCCCCCGGGAAGATATTTTTTTCAATCTTGAAGTTGAAAGCATCAATCTGGTGCACTTTGAGAGCAACATGAAGAGATCTATGGATACATCTCTCAACACCCAGATGAAACAGAACTGGAAACAGATTTTCTTTTTCTTTATGGATATTTTACAAATCACTCTCCTTTCAAACTGTATTCTTGTTTTACTGTCATATAGTATTTCATAGCTGTTTTTCATTTATTCTCTTATTTTTTTATAACTATAATGATCATATAAACGTGTGCCTCGGAAATAATTGTTTACATTAATGGTAACCCAAACATTTGAGACCCACTGAGATAACACTGAGAGAGTCCTTTAGCTCACTGAGTCTCTCAGTCTGACAGATGTTCAGGTGTATATCAGTATGTAGTGTCTCTACTTTAAAGAGTCCTCTCCTGCTGATGTTCAGGTGTATATCAGTATGTAGTGTCTCTACTTTAAAGAGTCCTCTCCTGCTGATGTTCAGGTGTATATCAGTATGTAGTGTCTCTACTTTAAAGAGTCCACTCCTGCTGATGTTCAGGTGTATATCAGTATGTAGTGTCTCTACTTTAAAGAGTCCTCTCCTGCTGATGTTCAGGTGTATATCAGTATTTAGTGTCTCTACTTTAAAGAGTCCTCTCCTGCTGATGTTCAGGTGTATATCAGTATGTAGTGTCTCTACTTTAAAGAGTCCTCTCCCTGCTGATGTTCAGGTGTATATCAGTATGTAGTGTCTCTACTTTAAAGAGTCCTCTCCTGCTGATGTTCAGGTGTATATCAGTATGTAGTGTCTCTACTTTAAAGAGTCCACTCCTGCTGATGTTCAGGTGTATATCAGTATGTAGTGTCTCTACTTTAAAGAGTCCTCTCCTGCTGATGTTCAGGTGTATATCAGTATTTAGTGTCTCTACTTTAAAGAGTCCTCTCCTGCTGATGTTCAGGTGTATATCAGTATGTAGTGTCTCTACTTTAAAGAGTCCTCTCCTGCTGATGTTCAGGTGTATATCAGTATGTAGTGTCTCTACTTTAAAGAGTCCTCTCCTGCTGATGTTCAGGTGTATATCAGTATGTAGTGTCTCTACTTTAAAAGAGTCCTCTCCTGCTGATGTTCAGGTGTATATCAGTATTTAGTGTCTCTACTTTAAAGAGTCCTCTCCTGCTGATGTTCAGGTGTATATCAGTATGTAGGGTCTCTACTTTAAGAGTCCTCTCCTGCTGATGTTCAGGTGTATATCAGTATGTAGTGTCTCTACTTTAAAGAGTCCTCTCCTGCTGGTGTTCAGGTGTATATCAGTATGTAGTGTCTCTACTTTAGGTCTCCTGCTAGTTTCAGGTGTAAGTCGTAGTGTCTCTACTTTAAAGGTCTCTCCTGCTGATGTTCAGGTGTATATCAGTATGTAGTGTCTCTACTTTAAAGAGTCCTCTCCTGCTGATGTTCAGGTGTATATCAGTATGTAGTGTCTCTACTTTAAAGAGTCTCTCCTGCTGATGTTCAGGTGTATATCAGTATGTAGTGTCTCTACTTTAAAGAGTCCTCTCCTGCTGATGTTCAGGTGTATATCAGTATGTAGTGTCTCTACTTTAAAGAGTCCTCTCCTGCTGATGTTCAGGTGTATATCAGTATGTAGTGTCTCTACTTTAAAGAGTCCTCTCCTGCTGATGTTCAGGTGTATATCAGTATGTAGTGTCTCTACTTTAAAGAGTCCTCTCCTGCTGATGTTCAGGTGTATATCAGTATGTAGTGTCTCTACTTTAAAGAGTGCTCTCCTGCTGATGTTCAGGTGTATCTCAGTGTGTAGTGTCTTCTACTTTAAAGAGTCCTCTCCTGCTGATGTTCAGGTGTATATCAGTATGTAGTGTCTCTACTTAAAGAGTCCTCTCCTGCTGATGTTCAGGTGTATATCAGTATGTAGTGTCTCTACTTTAAAGAGTCCTCTCCTGCTGATGTTCAGGTGTATATCAGTATGTAGGTCTCTACTTTAAAGAGTCCTCTCCTGCTGATGTTCAGGTGTATATCAGTATGTAGTGTCTCTACTTTAAAGAGTCCTCTCCTGCTGATGTTCAGGTTGTATATCAGTATGTAGTGTCTCTACTTTAAAGAGTCCTCTCCTGCTGATGTTCAGGTGTATATCAGTATGTAGTGTCTCTACTTTAAAGAGTGCTCTCCTGCTGATGTTCAGGTGTATCTCAGTGTGTAGTGTCTCTACTTTAAAGAGTCCTCTCCTGCTGATGTTCAGGTGTATATCAGTATGTAGCGTCTCTACTTTAAAGAGTCCTCTCCTGCTGATGTTCAGGTGTATATCAGTATGTAGTGTCTCTACTTTAAAGAGTCCTCTCCTGCTGATGTTCAGGTGTATATCAGTATGTAGTGTCTCTACTTTAAAGAGTCCTCTCCAGCTGATGTTCAGGTGTATATCAGCACACACACACACACACACACACACACAGAATAATTTAACCGAGCGGATATATATTGGAGCATTAGGGCCTAAAATCTAATAATTAAAGAGCATATGATTTTTTAAACAGATTAAAAAATGCTGCAAAATTAAAAAGAAACATCTAATTGAATCAAAAAGGTAATCAATATAATTAAAATCGTCATGAAATCATTTGAAGAGAAACATTCAAACACACACTCTCGCAAACCAATCATCGTCCAATAGCAGAGCACAACTTGTTTTTAATTATTGTTTTAAATGTGCTATATAATTGAATAAAGATTGAGATTGAGATGATGAGCGCCCTGGCTCCTGATTGGCTCAGAGAGGAGGGAAGTATTGGAGTACAAATACTTTTTTACTGTACTTAAGTTCATGTTTCTGGTATTAGTACTTTACTCCACTACTTATTTTTCTGACCACTTTTTACTTTGACTTCTTACATTGTGAACACAAATACTTTTACTATTTTTAAACACGAGTATCTGTACTTCTTCTTGAGTAAAGCATGTGTGTACTTCTCCTGGCTCCTGATTGGCTCCCAGAAAGCCCCTGCTCTCACCTGATAGGTTGCCGTGGCGTCGGTGCTGGTGTCCGTCCCCAGGCTGCTCAGTTTCTCTTTCAGACGCAGGTGTGACCGCTGACGGAGGCAGAAGAAGGTGGTGGAGACGAGCAGCGCCACCAGGATGAAGATCATACAGAGGACGGAGAGGAAGAGGAACTGACCCGACTCCACGCGGGTCGTCTTCACCACCGGGATCTCCGTCAGGCTGCCTCTCTGCGGGGACACAGGGAGGAGAGCTGTCAGAGGATGCTGTCTCATTCTTGGGTTGGTTTCTCACAGATGAAATGTATCTGTCCTGATGTGAACTACGGCTGTCATTCAAAAGACTGGCTTCCTTCGGTTCTCTTAGACTCGACAGACTCGACCATTATCACACCTGTCTTACTCCCTTTGTGTTTCCTGCTCCTCTGTATAAAGGCATTTAACGTCTTGAGCTACATTACAGGCTATCTGTCCTTCCAGCTGGAAAGAGATTGATTCTGTTCATCGCTATAACTCTTTATTAAATAACATTTGTTCTTTTCTTACCAGAAGGTGATGAAGTGTGGCATTTCCACCACAGATGCATCTATTCCTCATTTAAAATATGCAATTAATCAGCTTTTAAAACATGTGCCACCTCCACTTCCTGTCCCGCTCATCTACTAAAAGGTATTAAGATATTTAGGACCTTGTTTATAGGATCCTGGATGTCCTCCTCCAACATGAGAGTCACATGCTAACTAAGGTATCCCAACTGTAGCTGTGAACATGACAGGATGTGTGATTACCTAGAAGAGCATCAGGACTGTTTGAGGCAGATGATAGCTATGTGATTAACATGATGATTCAGCCTCTATGGAGAGAGACATCAAGCATGCTCATTTCTGACGTGGAGCTAATCTGAAGTAAACATTGAATACTGCTTTCTATTCCTCCATCTTGAGACTGTGTAACTCCCTCTCTTGATATCAGCATGTGAAGGACACTGTTCAGGAACTAGTTGATGCTCTGTATGTGATGACTCCTTCTGGAGAGGATCACAGACACATGGATCCTGAGGCTGAAGCTTCCTCGCTGTTTCTCTAACACACAGCGAGGAAGAGAAGCTGTCAGAGGAGAAGAGGATGCAGCTTCTCCTGCTTTAAAATATGCAATTAATCAGATTTTAAAAACATGTGCCACCTCCACTTCCTGTCCCGCTGTTCCCTGTACTTAGCACCCTCATGTTTTAATATATATTTAGGATCAAGAATGCTTTTATTTATAAGAAAACCTGCCTTTTATTGAGGCAGTAGCCTAACACTGAAACACACGAGCACACAAAAGTTTAGTAGCTGACAGATAACACATTATTACATTACATTGCATTTAGCTGACGCTTTTATCCAAAGCGACTTACAATAAGTACATTCGACCAGGAAGACACAACCTTGAACACATTCTATTTCTAAATGTCTTGTAACTCCTGCATTTGTAGCATGTAATAGAATGAAAGTGTAGGAGAATACAGTCTTCTGTCTGTAATCCATCACAAAAGGTCTGATGGAGGTGGTTTTAATGTCATTACAGCGTCCTTTAAGTTTAGCAGCTCCTAAAAAAATCCCCCTAGTGTCAATAAAGCGAACTGCTGCGAGTTGACGTTAAACATGAGGTGTAACTGTAACCCTTTACTTTACCCTCCTATTCTCCACCAACTATAGACATGTACACCCCTCTTTTAATCTGGCACGGTTTGGTTTGGCACTCTTCAGCTACAGGAGGCTTGGATCCTAACAAACTGGGGTTTAATGATCTCCTCTGGTCCTGGTCTGCATGGATTAGCTTCACGGGTAATGCCCCCCCCCCCTCGCTGCACAACGACCTGTTTTTAATGTGATATCATGAGAGAGATTTCTATCAGCAGCGCAGGTTAAAGAACGGCCCTTTGTGTTTCTAATTGCTGCATTTACTGTACCCCCCCCCCCCCCCCCCCGGGGGCCCCACTGCTGCATTTTAAAAGCATAATTAGGAGCATTAATTGGGAAGGGTAATTAATGATGAGCATACATGTAGCTACTGTTAGAGACTGCATGAAATATGGAGTTTTCTCTGCATCAATCATCTGCAAAAAGCCACAGATTTAATATCATTTGACCAGATATTAATTGTACGATTACAAAATATCAATACACAAATGCATCAGCAGGTAATTCTCTGCATGCATTATGGAGAGTGAACCTGTTCGAGATGGCATCGAATACGGACGTCCTGCCAAGTTAGTTTGGATTTTCCTCTGGATAAAAGATCCTTCCTTTCTCACAGAAAGAACATCTGTAATCTAAAGACGCTCTGCATGGCAACATCAACGCACAGAAGCATCGGCAGGCTCCTGTAGTGAAGGATCGATGTGTGAAGAGAATGGAATCTACTAAATAAATGCTAATGACGGCGCTGACATTTATCCTGAGGGGCCGTGTGCAGGATGTCTACGTGTTGTTCAAAACAAACCCCTCACACCACGCTCTGACCTTGTGGAGCTTAATTGCCAATGTTTTTAGCAGTGGTTTGTTCGATTTCTGTGTTTAGCCTTCTGCTGATTGCCGTGGTTTGGAGCACGGCGTTTTAATCAAGCGTCGAGAGGTTTGAGAGCGGACGATGGGCTTTGATTTGATGTGTCGCTCAGGGATCAAATGCATCCATATAAGGTGCATCTAAAACCCCTCAGACGTGTTCAATACTCCACATATTGACAGAGAATCAAACGCCTCCGAAGTGCCCTCTGTAGACTTCAAACCTGCCTGACAACCCAGTGAGGTTCTTGACTTGAGAGAAAATAAATCAAGTTAATTTAAAGGTGTGATCTCTCTCGAGGTGTCGCTCAGGGATCGAATGAAACCTCTCCGACACAATTAGACGATCAAAATGTGAATATTTGGCACATTGAGAAACCCCTCAGACGTGTTTCATAATCAAAATCACACATCGATGCCTCTGAAGACTACAGACTCCAATCCTGCCCGACAACTCAGAAAGAAATCAAGTTTCATCAAAAATGTGAAAATGCCTTTAAAAGAAACGCACTGCAAGAATGTGTTTGAAGGCGCTAATCGTGTTAGAAAGAAAGCACAGAGAGGAAGAGGAGGAGGAGGAGGAGGGAGGCAAATAATACCCTTCATCGGCCTTAAAAAAAAATGCATTTAATTCCACTATAATTAGAGTCTTAAAAGGATTTTTTTCCGAGTATTCAATCACTGAAAAATAATTAAAAGATACAATTAAAAGCTTGCAACAAATTCATATTGTATTGTTAGAGGAGGATTTTGTATTTCGTCGATAAAAATGGATTTAAAACTATTTTTTTTCGTCCTTTTAACTCTAAAAAAGAACAGGTTTTTATTCCTTTTAACAAGTATTGATGTTTTTCCTCCTCCAGACTTGACGGTGTGAATGACTCTGAGGAGGCAGATGGACCTCAGGATTATTTAGTGATCGAGGAGAGGTCAGGCGGAGAGGTGTTGGCGGGCGGCTCCATTCCCTTTCACTCAGAACACAAAACCCTCCAGAAGAACAAGAAGAATGACACTTTGAAATCTAGGCAATGAAATGTGTCCAGAGTTACAAAACAAAAGCACAATTTAAAAACTACATGCATGATATTTTTCATAGGCAAAAAAAAAAAGGCAAATTGTTAAAAACGTTGCAGCAGAATCAGACCAATTTGTAAACTACAAAATAATAATTTAGGGAATGAATCGCAGTGTAAACATTTTATTTTTATGAATGGGAATAAATCCAAGAATATAGTAAAAAGAATTCCGCTCACTTATTTGACTAAAGACGATGAAAATAGGGTAAAACATGAATGATTCACCTCCTTCTGAACATGCAGAAACTTTGTCCCTGCAGCCAGATGCTCGGGGCTCAAGACTCTGGATGTTTCGCTGAATTTAAATTCCCTACATTAATTTCCTGCAACCACGGTCACATGTAAACCGTGCGCTTGTGCAGAAGCAGAGATGGATAGAAATGAAAGAATATTTTTGCAGCAGCTTCAAACGTGACAAGTTTTCTAAAGCCGATGCTGTAATGCGTGAAAACACGCACGGAGAATCTGAGATAATTACCCGAATCCATGCCGCGGTGCAGAGCGAACGAATCCATGCCGCGGAGCAGAGCGAACGAATCCATGCAAACGGGGGATTCTTCGAGCTGTATTCCACAGATCATCATGTTTGAAAACACCACCTCCTCCTCCACCTCTGCAGCAGCTCCAAGCAGCAGAAGAAGAAGCGTCTGTCCGTGCGTAACGCTGCTCCAAGAAAAAGGGAAAAAAGGAAAAAGTTCCCCTGGCTTCGAATGTCCAACAAAAGCCGCTAAAAAAAAGCCGCACAGAATAAGAAAAAAGGGGAGAAGAATGTGGGATATGCCCGCCTGATTCTCCGAGCTTTGCAAGAATGTGCAAGAAAGAAGAAGCCCCGCAAACCGAGTCCTTTCAGCGCCTCCAATGAAAAGAGACAGAGGAGGAGGAGGAGGAGGGGAGGA